CCCCGCCCCGCCCCGTTGCCGGAAGTGTCGCCTTGGCAACGCGGAGGGGCGCTGGCGGGGTCCCGCCGCTGCGAGCTGTGCGGGGCGGCGGCCCGGCTCCGCTGCCGCCGCTGCCGCCTCACGTACTACTGGTGAGAGCCCCGCTGGGTGCGGGGGACGCGGGCAGGCCCCGGGACGCAGCCTCGGAGGAAGCCCGGGAGGAGGGGCGGGGAGCAGAGGCTGGGAGGAGGCGACAGGGACCGGGCGCAGGAGGCGGGAACAGTCCTGGGGCACGGGGAGAGGGCAAGAGGCAGGGATTAGCCTCAGGACGAGGCGCAGGGTGCAGGGAAAGGGCCCGGGGCGAGGCTCAGGACACAGGGAGAAGGCCTAGGAGGCAGAAACAGGCTCGGGACAGATCAAGAGGCAGGGACTGGCCCCATGACAAGGCTCAGCATGCTGGAAGAAGTCCCAGGACGAGGCGCAGGAGACAGAAGCAGGCCCAGAACAAGGCTCAGGGCACAGGGAGAAGGCTCAGAATGAGGCCCAGGAGGCAGTGCCAGGCCTAGGACAGAGGGACAGGCCCAGGGCAAGAGCTGGGGGGATGGGGACAAAACCTGGCACGTGACCTAAGACAGGAGACACGGAGAAGGCCCAGGAGGCAGGAGCAGGCTCGGGACCAGGCAAGAGGCAGGGACTAGCCCCAGGATGAGGCTCTGGACACAGGGATAAGCCCCAGGACAAGTCTTAGGGCAGGGATGAAGCCTGGGTGTCAGGAAGAAAATGTGGCACAAAGCTCAGCAGACAGAGATGAGGCCCGGGAGGCAGAGATGAGACCCAGGATGGACACAGGGAGAAGGCCCAGGACGAAGCTCAGCAGGCAGGGTAGCAGGAACTGGAGCAGGCATGCTGGGCAATCACTTAGCTGGAACGTTTCGCTCCCAACAGTGCCCACATCAAATAGAGAGCTGCGCAGTGAGCTTTCTAGATGTTTACACAACTATCTCCACTTATACAGGGGCCTCAGTGAAGTCATATGTTAATTATACACTTCATGGTTTCACAATGACTTGAGGTTTGTTTGGCTTTGGGTTTTTTTTTTCGCGTACCGCAATGTTCAACACCAGGCATTTGCTCAAACCAAACTATATCGGGAGTTTTGTGAGTGATTTAAATAAGGTTTTAACATACAGAATCATGGTGGCTTGGCAGGACAGCACTGTGTTGCCATTCAAGAATATCAAGTATATATTAGATGCAAAGGGCTAGTGGCCGTTGTGGGTAATTCTTGTGGTGAAAGTCCAGAAGACACAACGGGCAATAATCTTTCTTTACATCATTTCGAAGCAAAAAAAAATATCATTCTTCCCTTATTTTCTTAGTGATGTAGATCATCAAACAGCCGACTGGGTTAGTATCCACGAGCAAATATGCCAGCTGCTGATTCCAATCCGTACGTCCCTCCCTTTTCTCCTTTCTGAAAAAGAAAGAAAACATAACATGGAACAGGTGATGAAGAGGCAGGTATGTACCAGAAAAGCAAACATCACTTCAAAGTATTGCCAGTGAAATTCAAGTAGATCTCTTCTTCCTATACTTTGATGTACATCATCTTGAGAGGCACCTTGTTGGTTGATTGGTACTTAGTTGCAGAGGTTTAGGTGAGGTTTTTTAAAAAAAAATGCTCTAATAAGGGGAGTGGGAGCATATTCCCTCTGATTCTACAAGCCTCTTGCCTTTTTCACAGTCCTGAGCTTCCTCAGGCAGCAGCAATCCTGGATCTCCTGCCATGCCAGGTAGTTAGTCCATCTCTTAGGTTAGTCCAGGATCCAGCAGTTTTGTTTCTTACAGGCTGTCCTCATCCTTTGCTGATGAGAGGGATTCCCCTTTCTCAAAGCAGAGGGGGCAAACAAAGTCCCCTCCCTTTGTTTACCTGGACAAGTTTAAACGCCCTTTCCCACTAAATAAGGTCTTTTATCTCTGTTTTTTTGGCCTCGTGGGTGGTGCAGATGTGCAGCTCCTTTCCAGCTCAAGTAGTTTTCAACTCTTTTTTGTAGTTGTTGTTTATGGGATGGCAGGATCTGCTTTTCCACAATGTTGATAAAAAAAAATAACCCACACACCCTGCTACTTAAAATCTTGCCCATAAAAATAAATTATCCTGCTATCGTTGCATAACTCCTAATCACAGAATAATAGGACAACAGAACAGCAGAAGGTGAGCTGGTAACAATTAAACACTGCCACTGAGAACATCATCATTAATCTTCTGGATTTTACACCATATATTATTTTTAAGGTTGTTTCTGGGCCAGGTGCTACTGCTTTGGTGAGTGATTTGTTGCTGTGATCTTTCTCGGGAAGAGAAAGTCTAAAAGGGGTGGAACCTACATAGACAGTCCTTGGTGAAAGCTTGTGACAGGCTTTAGGCAACAGATTCCTTAGGGCTTTGCTGGAATTGGACAGTGACAACGCAGTTTAGTTCTGAAAATCTCATCTGTTTGAAAATCACAGTCAAGATTCTTGACCAAAGTCCAGAGAAGGTGTGTTAGAACAACGTGTCCCAGAAGCATCAGGAAAAATGCAAAAGCTCCCTTGTTCCAAGTTACCTTGAAGTTGATCTTTTATAGTCTGCAAAGAAGTGAAATCGAAATTGGTCTTACTGGGGGTGGTGGCAGTTTTGCATCCTTAACTGCTTAAAGCTTTTTCAAGAAACTTCAGCTGATGTTGAAAGCATTTGCTATTACATCATTGAGCTTACAGCAACTAAAATTATGCTCTATGCAAAAGACCATGTGACCAACAGATCAAGGAAGTACTCCTTGATTAGCTAGAAGCTAATAATTTGTTTTTATTAGGTTGCAGCGGAAGACAGCAGGAAGATGGGGCTGGTGGAGAAAGGAGAGACACTCCTCTTGATTGGAGTGCACACCCAGGTTAGCAGATGGCAACTGCAAACCTGCAGCTTGAGCTGAGCCTTGGAATGACTTCATGAGAAAAGTCATAGCAGACTCCTGATTTTTTTTCGAAGTAGAGATTTTTATAGGTTCGTTAACAACCCTGTTACATTTGTTCTTTAACCTTTGTATCCAGACTATTTAAATAAAATAGATTCTGGGCACAGTATGTGCTGGGACACTTTGTCTTCCTTCTCTCCTAAGAAAGGAGTGAAAAAGTGGAAACCTGCTTGCTTTCACAGCAAGGCTGTGGCTGCTAGCTCGCAGAGGAAGTCTGTCTTTATGTACAGCAAGGTATAGGGTAGAAAACGTTAGGCCTAGAAAGGCTGACAAGCATTGGAAAAGCAGTGTGGAGAGGGTGGGATTCTTTGCTGCCCCATCCTGGTGGCTTCATCATTTTCCTATTCACAGAGCCAACAAAAATGCTTTGAAGATGGCCTTTGGAGCTCAGGGAAAAGCTACATAGTCTCATGACTGAGAAAATACCTTCTGCTCAAAGCCTGCCCATAGGTTTATTATTTTTTGAACATTTCTGCTGTACTTCACAAACTCCTGCACGGTGTTTGTTTAGAAAACACGCAGCTCGGGCCTCAGTCAGGACACAGGAAAGCTTGTGCACATCAAAATGCCCTTTGGCTTAAGGGAAAGTGCATGGAGCTGAGAGCCAGGAGGTTATGAGTTTCATACCTCATCTGTACTCCAAAGCTTTGTTGATAGAAATCTGCTTTTGTCAACATAGCCGCAGGGGTGCCTGCAGACAGTGCCTCCAAACTGACAAAACTCCAAGTTTCTGTTTGTAGAATAGCCTCACCTGCCTGCGTGATGTCAGCTTACCACAGCCCCTGGGTACGGGAAAAGATCCACACCTCAGCCGGCTTCAGCCCTCCTCCAGCACTGATGCTAGCCCCGCTGACTGCAGGTTTCCACCCAAACTGACTGGAAGCCTGCCTTCCTCTTTAAATCCTCATTTCTCCAAGTGTGGTGTCGTTTTTGGTGCCTGTGAGTGAATAAATGAATGTGACACCGAACCCCAAGTGTGTTCCCCACCCTCCTCTGCACCCACCTGGAGCAGAGCTGGGGTCCTCAGCCTCCTCAAACCCCAACTGGGGGAAAACTGCGTGGGGGCATCTTCAGAGAAACCTCTGTAATTGCAGCACACATGAAAAGAGCCCAAATCGTGCAGGTCTGGGGGCGTGGGGCTACTGGCAAGATAAAAACAGTGCAGGGCCAAAGCTAACGATCCCCCCAAGGCTTGTAACTTCGAAGTCTTGAATATTCAGTGCTGCAGGGCTTCTGTTGTCTCCTGCCCTTTCTTCTCCTCCTGGGAGCTGTGCAAGAGTCTAACCCTTCTCTTGTCCTCACTACAGATGTTTTAAGATAGCTTACATCATGAGAAGCAGTGATGATCCTATTGACAAGGAGTAAAAAAAGAATGATCCCCATCTCCAGCACCTCCCCAGATGACAGTCTTCTTGATACCCACGCACCAAAACCAGTGCCAGTTGCAACAGAAAGAGTGGCATGGACAGAAGAGGCAGCCTGATAAATAACAGCTTGTACTGCTCCTTGCCCTGAGCGTGTGCTGACTTTTTCCACGTGCACCCCCAACAGGGCTTGGTTTTGGTCTTTTTTCACTCTCTTTGCTGGGAGCTCAGGGTGTAGAGACAGGATGATCACTCTGTTTTCTACCTCTTGGCTCTCCTTGCTGTCCCAGGGTGCTATCACTCTGGGCTGCATCCCTCAAAACTTCCGTTTATCCAGAAAGGATGTGGCTTTATCTCAGCCAGGATCTCCAGGAAACACTGTCCTTGAGCTCCCTGTCCCTGAGCTGTTCCTTCACCCTTGGCATGACTCTCTCTGCGTATCTCTAAGCACTTAAAGCTCAACAAAATGCCAAAGCCTGTCCTCCAAAAGCACTGGGATTTGCTTTTTCTGCCCTCTGATCAGCTATGGCTGAAAAGCAGACAGCAGTGAAGTGGTAAAATGGTATTTTCTGCTGGGGCTCGCTGCACAGGCCTGCCCGTGCCTCCTAGCCAGTGCCTCTCTGCCTTTCCGTGGCAGCACTGCTAGGCACAGCAGCAACGAGATTTCTTCCAGGCAGCTTTCCTGCTGCACCACTTGTGTGAAAAGCCAACACAGAAGTGTTGGGAGTTGGCAACAATTACACTGAAAGCAAAGAGAAATAGATAAATAAGCATCCTGGCTCTCTTTCACGGGCATCCCTCGGCACGTTGTAAGGGCACAGCATCGACGGTTGCCGTAGAGCTGTTGGCAACGAGCCGGCGTTCAAAGGGAGATATGTTTGTGGAGCTGGTGAATAAATCAAATGCTGCAAAGGGTGGAAGTGCGGTGTGAACTGCTCGGAGTAGCAGGAGGCAGGGAGCAACTATACGTGCAGGAAACTGTATGAGTTCTGCTGGCAGAGATGCTGCAAAAACTGCCTGACCACCAAACCCGGCCCGGGTAATGGCTACACAGAAGGGTAACACAGTGCATTAGGGTGTTGTGATTTTGACCCGCTTTCCAGACTCCGCGCCCAAAATACCAGGCCCAGAGCTGGCTGGGAGAGGGTGGGAGGAAGCACCCACACAGCACCATGTGAGGAGCTCTCTCCTCGCTCCCAGCCCGCGTCTCCTGCAGCTGGAGCGGTGCCGTGCTGGCACCAGCCTGGCAAACCATCCGCTCTGCTGCCTGCTATGAGTCACCGTTATTACCGTCAGCAAAACCCCGCCGTAGCCCCTTTGTCTAATCTTTCCTATGGTCTTGTGATGATCATTTTCTGTGCTTCACAGCTTTTATGGCTGCAGCCTTATTAGCCCTTTCTCGTAGGCGTAAAGGATTCTTCGTCTCATAAGAGACCACATGACCTAAGAGGATGTCCAAAGCTGTTCCTGCTAGAAGTAGGAATGAAAGCCAGGCTCTATTATGACAGCTTTAATTTCCATCCATTAATTACAGACACAAAGAAGATTACAATCACTGTTTTACAGTTTGCAAACTTGAATGCAAAAAGTGATTGTGAGTTTTATTTCTTCTTTGCTCACTCTGTCCTGTAACTCTGTTTCCCTGCAGAAATACATCATCGATCTTGCGTCCAGCACAGCCCAGAGGTTTGTTTTGGATGGAAAGCACGAAGAAGCAATACCTGCAGCTCTGCACGCACTGCGTTTCAGCACTGAAGTGTACGGCTCAAATTCTGTGCAGTTGGTGCCTGCTTATCTCCTCTTGGCTGAGGCCTCCACTGGTAAGTATTGTCTAAATAGTAAGGTTGGCAAGGGCAAGACCTCCCCTGGGTCAGGTTTCTGGTTTCCTTTTACCATTTATCAAGGAAGGACCAGCTCCGTTTCAACACTGTGCCATGTCTCTACCCTGCCCTGCCTCAAGGGCATTTCAGAGCGATTTGAGAAGTTGCACACACACACCCCTTTTGCTGTGTGGGTCTTTGGAAAAGAATCACTCATCAGTGATGAGAGATCAATGAAAGCAAATGAAATGTTTTCTCCATCTCTACCAATTCCCACAAGAGAAGCAGTATGAAAATCTATTCTTTACCTCTGTGGCTTCGTATGTCTCTCAAAAGCATTAAATTCCCGAGGGTGGGTGGTTGGGCTCTTGTCTCAGGGAACCAGCAAACATTTCGGAGGCCATTGCACCAGAGGAATGTCTCAGTTCATTCACAAAAGCATGCTCTGCCTGAAGGAGAGCTTTTTCTCACTGACTGTATGCTTTATACAAAATGGCAAATTAGGACTCTGCATGTGGAGAACTGCTCTCCTCAGCTGCACATGTAGAGGACGGAAAAATCACTGTAAATCATTGCCATTCCAGGAGCACACACAACGCTCTGCTGGCAGAATTGAGCTGTCTCAAGGATTGTCGTAAATGGTGTGGCAAGAGAAGGGAAAAAAAAATCCCATGAGTAATTCTAGTGTGATAATACCCAAGTCATTAGTGGCTGCCTGTAGCTAACCTGTTTTGAACACATGTTTCAGAGATATTGAATGCAGTACACAGTTTCTGGCTTCTCTTGTAGCTCTACACTCTCAGCCTGTCTGTAAATTAGATTTTAAACACCTGCTCGACTAAGGAGCGCTTGGGAGAGAAACAGGGAATCCACAAACTAGATCTCCATGTCAAACTACTTCAAAGGGGTAGCAGGCAGTATTCCCTAAATTTCTAAATTAAAAAAATGCTCTTTATGCTGCTTATTTCTACATTTCAGGTGCTGGCTGTCTTCTGCAGGCATCAAAGTATCTCTCCCAAGCCCAGTGGATTGTCCTCAGAACTCCAGACTGCAGTGTTGCTGTTCAGCAGAAATTACATCGTAGTCTGGGGCTTTTCTGTGCTGCTGAAGAAAACTTTGAACAGGCTTTATATCACCTGGCGAACGATGTAAGCCAACTCAGATACAGAAATGCTTCCATTTTTCTTCCTTCTCTAACACTTCCAGGTTGATATGAAAACCCCAGCAGGCAGATTTGTAATCCTGATTTTAGGTACTGAGAGGGTACATGGTACAAACACCTGAACTGTCTCGATCTAAGACACCCGTGTATCCATGTGTCAGCCAAAGTTGTGTTTTACCCGTTATCCTTATTCCTTTGAAGTGACACATACCTTGTCTTTGCTGCTTATACATTTATCTGTCTGCTTGGTTACGGTCCTGGGATGAACAGACATTCCTACCCCAAACTGGTATCGTTGCCTTTTATTCAACAGATGTTACTTTACGTTTTGCCTGTCATTTATCTCAATACTTTTCTGTTAGACAACAGTTGTCTGTCAGCCATTATTTAATGAATGCCTTATTTAACTATTTAAATGTCTGCTTCAGTGGTGTTTTCCTCAATTCAATCTTTTTAGCCACGAGAGCAGTTTGTCAGCTTTGAAGCAGTTACTGCCAGCTGTGTTCCTGAGGATGCTTTGCCTGTCATTTGATCCCCCAAAGGCAGACGAACTCCGCAACATCCTATTTATGTCCCGTGTAGACTAAATTTATCCAGTGCAGAGTGATGTATCCTCACTACTGTTGAATTTGATAGTAGCTTTGTGTGGGCGGGAATGATGACACACGGTTGAGGAGAATTAGATCCTTTCTGTTATAATATAGACATAATATATACCGCCCTCTCCTTGCTTAGTTGGTAAAGCTTTTGGGAGATTCCTTGCTGTGCCATTGGTTTTTTAGGTGCCCTAAATCTGGTGCCCGAAAGGGTGTCAGGTAATAGTTTTTTGCTATTAGCAAGTCACTGTGTCAGACCAGCCCCAGACCTGCCTGAACTTTGGCTGCGTGTCTGAGATCTGCTGAGAGTCACACGCCAGCTCAGAATAGCTGGAATGCACCACTGCCTACCCACTCCCCTGGCCCTGCCTGGGGCTTCGGGGGGAGAAACAGGCGCCGCGGGCGGGACCGGAGCGCTGAAAAGCGGCGGCAGGTTTTGTGTTTGAAGGTGGGAGACATACGGGCTGCGCAGGGAGAGGAGGATGTGGGGGAACCCTGCCCCACGCCTCCGTGGGGGAACACACTGGAGTAAGGGTTCCTCTGCCCCAGGAGGCTGGAGATTTGAGGGCGTTGCATTCCTTTGCATAAACCCCAAAATACAGCTTTTTTAGTCCCACATTTTACAGTCACAATCAGGTATAACTAACACTATAGTCACACAGAAAAAAAAAAAAAAAAAAAAAGGAATGCATGCAATATTTTTAATCCATAATGAAAATTTTCCCAGGTTTGATATGAGCATTAAACTTCTGCCTTTTTTTTTTAAATATTAATTTCAGATTTACCTTACCAGTTCTATGTTTGGACTGAAATCTATTGAGACCTCTGGAGGGTATTTCCACATGGCTAATATTTTCTTTCACCAGAACAAAATGGACATAGCAAACTCACTCTATGCTGAGGTTGGTAGAACCAAAGATCATCCTCTTATATTTCTCAGGGTTTTTTCTGTGTTCTTTCCAATATTTCTCTTATTTCTGGCTGCCTTTAATCCAGTGGTGACCATATCAAGTGCCAGCATTGCCATTTAGGATCAATCCTAGAAATCCTTTTCACACTTAAATATTTCTCTGAGTTAAAACCAGGAGACATTAATCCTGTACTCAGTTTAAAATCATTATTCAAATTGTCTTCAATTTGGGCAGCCAAACCTTGTTAAAAAATAGCTTTGCTACCAAATACCCCACGCCAGAGATTAAAGAGTCCCACAAGCAGAAAGAGTCACCAAGGGGTTTCCATGGCCAGGGAAGAGTTGCTGAGCAGCACAGGGATACAAACATGCCACGTAAAATTTACTCTGAGAATCAATGAAGAGTCACACTGATAAAAGACTGTCAGAACAGCATGAGCAAGCAAGGGAAGTAACAATTATCTAATTGCTCTAATAACTGGAAAAAAAAGTGAGCTTTCATTTGTTTCGGTTGATTTTCTGTGGAAGCAGGGCTTTGGCAGCTGTGCAATCTGCCTCCATTCCCCTCACAAACTTCAACCCAGTTGGCTTTTGGTTGACGATTTAGTTAGATTTGTTCAAGTTTGATGAAAATTAGTAGTCAGATGGAGAAATGAGCTTCCAGCTCAGGCTGCCCCTGGGAGAAGAGTGGTCAGAAGGTGAGACACCCAGCTTGGCAGCAGCCAGCTCACTCACCGTCAGGTTCTTGTGGCAGTGACGTGCATTGCAAGGGACATTGTTTATAGAAAAACTCATTGCTAAATAGCAGGTATTCATACAAGTGAAATAATTCATTTGCTTCCTGATAGGTGACCGACATCTGGCATGCCTTTCTCGTGAAGTCACTTCGAGCACAGGAGCAAATTATCAACTCCCGACCGGAAATGTCTCCGCTCACCGGGGACGAGGCAGTCGGCAAAGCCTCGCTGAGTAAGCCCCGCTATTGCACAGAACCGTTTGGGAGGCAGATTTTAAACAATCCCCACATCCCACTGTTCATATTTACTTTGCATGGCATTTCCAGATTCACTGGGGATCACAGGTATTTCTGATGTCGTCGCTCAGCAGATTGCACTAGATGAAACAAATGAGGCCACTTCAGGAATGAGGGCGTTCAAGTGGAAACACAGCTTTGCCCTTTTTGTTTAACTGCTCCTTTTCACAGCGCCCTTGGCAGTGACTTTAGCAGTACAATATTTTGCCTTTCAGGATTTGATTCCACTTCAACATTCTCATTTCTCTGCAGCTCCTTTGTCTCCATTTAATTATGTGAAAGTGACATTTCCTCTCACTTAGGCAGGTTTACAGCTCTGAAGCAGTAGGACACGATGCAATAGCACTTACTGATAGTTGGATGTATTAGTCTGGGGAATAGTCTCGGGGGAGCAGGTGGGGAATTTCTCACTGGGACATGAAGGTGCATAAAGCATTAGGAAACACGCTTGTGTGCGTGGTGCTACCCTGTGCTCCACTGAAGTCAGACCAGACTCTGGTCCTTGTCTTCTTTCTGCCATCTATGTTAATAAGAATATTGTCAGAGATAAAAAATGTAAATCCCATTACCTGGCATTGTCTCCATCCAGTAGGAACCACACCAAGACAGGGCTACACGATACCATCTTCAGTTATGACAGGGGTATGAAAGTTGCTCTTTTCATGCAGCTGTTATGACTCCACATCCTTACTAAAGGCTAATCAACACAATTACTGACTGGATGAAAAGATATCTGTTAATGGGTATGGAATTTGCATGGAGCTGGGATACCGCGTTGATGCTTGTAGTAGAAATGCTTTGATGTCTAGAAGAGATAATTGGACAGTTTTGAATATATTATCTTGCATGCATACATACATCCAACAAGATTATTTCATTCTCGGTGCAGCTGAAGCCCAGCAAGCAGAAGCAATCCGAGTACTGAATGCTGTATTAGATATCAGAGAACAGGCTCCAAAGCAACAACCCAGGGAAACTGCCCGAGTTTTGCACACCCTGGCCATGCTATATTACCTGGGCATGGATTTACCCAAGGTAAGTTTGGGTAACTCTGTCTCAGGGCTTGCCCCATCCCATGAAGCCAGCAGCCTCTGTTCACCTCTCCCCAGTCCACAGCAGCCTCACAGCTCAGTGTGAAGCTGACTCACAGTCTCTGCTCTGTCAAGGCTAATAAAGCCCCCTGGGTCTGTTTTGGTCTCTGCCAGGCCCTCCACGGGGGATCCTGTAGTCCCCCACATTTTCTGGGTTCATCCTGCATGTGGGATATCCTGGCGGAGTAGCTGCCTGTTGCATGCTGCAGTTAGACATCAGGTTACGCAGCGAGCAAGACGTGGGCCTCGCGCATGTCTGTCCTCAAGCCAGCCTCCCTGTAGTTACCATTATATTAGGGTAATTTCACTTTATTGGGCCCTGTAATTCATTTTTGAATTTGCACCCCGGTATTTGTACAATAACTGATTTTGAGGAAGTGCTGAACAGTAACTGTTTGAAATTGGGCCTCTTTGTCTGGGCTAAGCACTCAAAAGCCTGAGTTTCTTCTGCCTGTGTTTTGGAAGGTGGAAATACAGATTACTAATGGTCTCTTCACTGTATCAGAGAAAGCCATAATGATGTGAGTCAGGGTTTGGAAGACACAAAGAAACAAATTCAAATTAGAAAAAAAGACAAAGCTTTATAATTGTGACAATGTCTAATCCCTGGAAGAGCTACCAAGGGAAATGAGGGATTTAGTTGGGAGTGAGTCAGTACAGCTGGTTTTCTCCTGAAATAGCTTTGGGAATGTTCAGATGAGCTGCTGTGTGAGATGGGAGGTAATGATCTCCAGCGTGGGGGGCTGGGGTTGGTAATCTCTTCTGTCTGCACCACTGGATGCTCAGTGATATCTGTTGGCAGCTTTACTCTCTCCTGTAAAGCAGCTTGTACAGGTCACCCTCTGAGGCAGGCGCTGAGTGGCTGGAGCCTGGGTCTGCTCCAGTGCAGCTTTTCCAATGAGCCTCTGCAGGTGTTTTAACTACCATGAGAAGAGGCAAATTCCTGACGATTACTTTTGTATTTTCTGTTTCAGGCTGGTGAGGTGGGTACCAAAGCCTTTAACCTGGTGAAAGGACTGCCCCAACAAGAGTCTCTGGAGGCCATTGGTCATTTGTTAAAGTTGATTAACTCCACGCCTTCCTGCACAAAATAAAGAACTCTTTCTCCCAGAGACGGGTGTTTGCCTGGGTTGTCTGTTTAACAAGGTTTTTGAAAACAAAAGTGTTACAAGCCGTAGGTCCTGTCTGCTGCCCTCCTTCCAGATGTGTCCCTTTCCCTCTCAAGGTGTTTGAAAATTGAACATTTTGGTGTGAGTTAGTTTTCACATGCTGCTCCGTAGCCCGTTACGGAATAACGGCATGAGAGTGAGCAACAAAAGCACAACCAACACACGATGCATAAATCATTATCTAATGATTTATGAATAAGCAAACAGCCTCTTACGTCCTCACATTGTCCAGAAGCTAAAGCAGCTGAGGTGTGTTTGTAACCAGTCTCCTCAATTTGCTTTTCAGTTTGATGAGGGAGACACAGAGGAGGGCTGGGGGGGCGGGGTGCACACAGGGAGGGTCTTCCCTGCATGCCTGACTTGGGGGGTTGTCATCTGCTCCTCAGGACCTGGTTGGGCTCCATCAGGTGTTGCACCTCTCCACAGTGCCCCTCCATCTCCAAACCGACTTTTCTCTCTTTGCAGAACTTTAGAGTCTTGTAGCTCTGGGCACTGAGGGACTCATTTGTTCTGCTTACGGAAGAACTTGCATCCAGGAGGGACCCGGAGAACAGCACAAGGGACCGTGAGCAGTCAAGGGAAAGGATTAAAAGGCCATTTAGCTCCAATCAGAGCTCCCAGACCCAAGGAGACGAGGTTTCCTCATGGCTGAGAGCTCGCCAGTGTGTAGGCATCCTGTTAACTCTGACGCCCACCCCGAGAGGAGGAAATCCCGCGTGAAACCGCGCGGCTGCCCCTGGGGAGCAGCAGGACCAGCGGGCGGGCAGAGCATGACATGGTGAGGGCCAAGGGACACCTTGGGGAAGGGCTGGAGGAGGCCCTGGCAGAGCGGGGCAGGACAGGGGCCGCGCGCTGAGCTCGGTTCAGACACCGAAGCATGTGACGGCCCCGCACAGCTGGGAAGGAGGTTAAGGGAAACTTGCCCTGCTGCTAAGGTCTGAACTCAGCTGAGCTTTAAGCCTACGATTAAGTCTCATTTACTTCAGGAGGATTTATGAGTGCATTTAATTGCCTTGCCGAATTGGGATGGAGTCAAGTACGCTTTTTAAATGCTTCATCAAGCTGGGACCTGAGCAATTAGAAGGGATTGATGCTGCTGCTAAAGGGAAAGCCCCCACTTTGGCCCATGTTTCATTACACAGGGTGGGGTAGCGCTGCTCGGGGCGCATGAGAAGCCCCACAGCAGACAGGCCTGGGTGGGGGAAACAGGTAGAAGACCCCCAGATACTCCAACAGGAGATGCTGGTGGACACATCCACCCTCATCCTGTCTCCACAGCTGGAACAACCACCTCTGCAGGATGGGGGGGGTGCCGGGGGTGGGGGGAGGCGCACAGCTCCTGCTGGCCCAGTGCCTCAGGGCACGGAGGATTTGGGTCACAGTGGCCGGGGATTTGGAGCAGCGGGTTCGATCGTGGCAGTAATCCCTGCAGCCAGGCTGAGCCCCCGTGACGCGCCAGGCCAGCAGCTCTGTGTCGCTGCTCCTGGCTGCTTTAACGCCAGAAAAGATGGTGTGAAAATTAACTTTGCATAAGGCTGAGCGTCTCCAGGAACGGTGGCAGCAAGGGCTGGGAAGGGGAAGTGTTAGCGTGGGCAATGAAAAGAGCCCCGGGGAAATAAACAACATTTTTGGGTGCTTTGAAAGATTTTACAAGAGCTATTTCCTACAACACGATGCAACAGCCATTTCCAGCGCGTGCACTTCAGGGCAAAGTCAATAAATAGAAAAAAGCCTGAAGTGACCAAGATCAGCATTTCTTTGCCTGAAAGTGTTCAGACTTGCAGCTCTTGGCACCTTGTCATTTCAAGGGGAAAGAAAAAAATCCACCAAGAAGCAGCAACCTCCCTCTCTGCCTTGCTCAAGCGCTTGCAGCAAGAGGCAGCCACTCCGTCCCGAAGCAAATCCTCATCACAACCCCCCGGGCAGCACCGAGGGGGGTAAATTTTGGGGTCTACTGGGGAGCCGGCGCAGGTCAAAGCTCCAGCCAGGTACAGCCATGGCAGCAGCTCCAGCCCAGGGCAATTAAAATTGCAGTCGTACACCCGGGGAGACACGTTTTGCAACCAGCAGTTGTTGCCACGGAGGAACGGCTTTGCAGGGCCACGCCGGGGCCTGCTCGGCCACATCTCACTCCCAGTGAACCCCGAATTTTAAGAAAGACACTTCCACAGCCACGTTCCACAAAACTGGGGTGCCAAAACAGAGCAGGGGACGCCTTCCCCAGAGGGCAGCAGGATTTCCCCCTTCCCAGCCCCACCACAATGCGGTGCGGGGAACAAACGGCGAGTTGGGGCCCACCTGGCATGAGGGATGGTGTTCAAGCAGCCAGGAGGAGGAGGAGGAGGAGGATGCAGTGATGAAGGAGAACTGAGATGCTCCGAGCATCCTCCTGGAGTGAGGACCAGGCAGAGTCCCAGGCCCACCACAACCACCGCTCGGGTCGAAATAAAAGGCACAAGGACTCGGCCACTGGGTCGCTGCATACATTCTTGTTTATTGTTAGCACACCACACACCTTCCTCTTGGCACTTATTTTTATGTATTTGTTTAAAAAAAAAACAAAAACAAAACACACACATGCATGCTCCGCGCTGCGCAGAGACGCCAGTTTAAGTTTATCACAGGGTGTTTTATACATATTTTTCCCCCCCCCCCTTTATTTTCTTTCAAGTGTGGTCACTTCCATAACAGACAAATAAATTAAAAAAAAAAGACCCTATTTAAAATACAAACTGCCTGTGGCTTTGGGAATGTGCCAGTAGCTCCCACACCAGTTGCACGCGGGGAGAAGGGATGCTTTTTTTTTTTCAGTTTTGTTTGAAAAGGACAGTATTTCTCTTTTTTTTTTTAATATACTACAGCCTGAAATTCAGTGCAATAGATACAACTACAGTGCAGGTAATGAACTATACAAAAGTCATCCTAACCATGTACAAGCTTTTTCTTAGTCGCTATAGAAACTATACCTTTGCATCTGTACCTTTTTGTATACATTATACAATGTGAATATACTCCAAGAATATTTACAGTACTTTGCTTGTCAAATCAGAAATGCTATAACTTAAATGTCTACTATTAACAACCATTGAACAAAAATATATATAATATAAATATCTTCCAGTCTATACACAGAGCAGGAAATGGATGTATCCGCGTGATGATGGATTTTGGTGAGTCCGGGCCTGGGGGGCGGGTAGCGATGGAGGGGGGTGTTGCTGTAGTGTGTGGCTGCCGGTTTCGCTCTGCCGGCGCTTCACCATCAGGCAAATATTGCCGAGATTAAACCAAAAAAATAAAACCAGACACTCCTTCCCCTTTCCACACACCCCCCACCACCTCTCCCGGCTGAAATTCAGGCAAAGGAGACGAGAAGCTGCTGGCGGAGACGACGCTCTGCAACCTGCGCCAGGATTATCGACCCTTCCAGTCGCTGGGGTTGGGACTGCTCCGTCCTCAGCGTGCCCCCAGGGCGGGGGGGTCCCCGTCCACAAACCCACCGGGGGCTGGAAACCAATTAGACTGCTTTAAAAAATAACTTGTTTTTTTGTTTTCTTTTTTCTTAAAAAAAAAAAATATTGTTGGTTTAGATTTAGTCGATTTACGTGATTTTTATACGATTAGAACGTTAAAAAAAAAAAAGCTTCCAGCTTTAAAAACTTCCACTACGTGATTTCTCGTTAAATAACCTATCGCGTCGTTAAAAAAAGGGTGCCGCCCTCCCGCTGGCGGAGGCTGCCTGGTTGGTTTTTTAAAACATCTATTGGCTTTGAAATCCTGGACGCGAAACCAGCTAATAAAAAAAAAAAAAAAATTGTTCCTAGCATTAAAAAAAAAAGTCAGTCTGTCCCCGATAAACCAGTGGGGGAGTCTGGAAAAGGGGTGTATGCACAAGAGCCGGACCCCCCACTCCCTCCTTCCTGGTTTCTGTACAAAGCATTTTAAAAAATAAAAACCCAACAAACTGAGGAGAGAAGGTGAGCAGCCGGGAGGCGCCGCAGGCGGGTTACACCTGGGAGTCGGCACCCAAGCTGTGAAACTCATCCGGGGTTTTGTCGCTCTGGTTGGCTCCCCCCTGACGGAAACCCGAGGCGATCTCATCAAAGGTCCGACCCTTCGTCTCCGGCACCCTGAAGTAGGTGAAGATGAAGAATAGGACTAGCAGCACCGTGAAGATGATGAAGACGTAGGAGCCGCAGAGTTGCTGGGGAGAAGAGGAGGAAGGGGTGAGCGCGTGGAGGGGGACGGCGCCAGGAGCAGAGTGATGGACCTCGGCTAAAGGACCAGGAGGGACTGTCCTGCCCACACCCACCACCGGGCTCCAGGGCCGCGTCCTCCTTCCCTCTCACGGCACATCTCAAGTTGGGAGAGACCCATGGGGATCCTCAAGTCCAGCTCCCAACTTCCTCCCTAGATCCTGCCCCCTGCCCTCTTCCCTGGGGGTGTTCGCTCCCCAAAACCACCTCGGGGCAGATTTTGGGGCTCAGGTCCCACAAACTGAGTGGTTGCACCCCCAAGCCCAATCCCCCCTGAGAGCACAGGGAGGTGCTTAATTACCGCGATGTACTGGAAGCCCATGCCCACGATGAAGTTTGAGGTCCAGTTGGACAGCCCGGCAACAGCGAAGGCAGCGGGACGAGGGCCTTGACTGAACAGTTCTGCCACGATAAACCAGGGGATGGGGCCTGGGCCGATCTCGAAGAAGGCCACGAAGCCGAAGATGGCCACGATGCTGAGGTAGGACATCCAGGGCATTTGGTCCTAGTCCAAGGGAGAGAGAGGTGGGTTCAGTGAAGGGGGAGGAAGAAGGTGGGTTCGGTGAAGGGGATGAAGCATCTGGCTGTCCCAGACGATGACACTCAAGCACATGTGGTGCTGGGGGAGAATCCAGGAGGTTTCTTCAGATCAGATTTCTGGGACCTCAAGGGAGATGCGGGCAGCGGGGACGGCTCCGCTATCTCCTCTAGGAGGACAAGGCTTTCCTCCTCTCCAAGCAGACCTCCTCCTCCTCCTCCTCCTCACCACCACAGCAAGGGGCAGTGTGCGGGATCTGGTCCCGGCCCCCCACCCTGTCCCCACAAGGCCGATCGCTCACCAGCAGCGTCAGGGCGATGGTCATGAGCACCGCACAACCCGCCATCCCCGCCAGGCCGATGAGGTGGAGGGTCCTGCGTCCCGCTCGTTCCACCACGAAGAGCTGTTGGGTGGAGACAGGCGTCCATCAGCACATCCCCAGCCTGGGGAAAAGCCCCTTCCTGTCCACCTTCCCCCCGGTGAGAGCTCGGTGGGTCAAAACTCACCGAAACGACTGTGAAAGCTGTATTGACCACGCCGGAGCCGATGGTGGCGTAGACAGGCTGCTCCACACCTGACTTCTCAAAGATACTGGTGGAGTAGTAGAAAACCTACAAAGGGCAGGGATGTGCCATGAGGAAAGGAGAGTCAAGTTCTGGGTGAAACAAGCTGAGCTTCGGCACCCAGGGGCCCCCAAAACTCACTGCATTGATCCCCGAGAGCTGCTGGGACAGCTGCAGGACGATGGCAATGAGGATGGGCTGGCGATACATGGGGGAGCGGAAGAGCTCCATGATGGTGACCTTCTTCTCTCTCATCATCTGCCGGCTCTCCTCCTTCATCTCCTGGAGGTCGCTGCTGACATCTGTTGTGCCCCGCAGCTTCTTGAGGACTAAGGGGAGGAGAATTGGAGTCAGGAGCAGCTGAGGTCCCTCCTGTACAGTGGTACAAGCTCAGGGGTCACTCACCGCTCTTGGCTTTGTTCTCCTCGTTGCGGTTGATGAGGAGGAAGCGGGGGCTCTCGGGGGCAAAGGGCAGGATGATGCACTGCAGCAGGGCAGGGACGAAGATGAACCCCAGGAGTAGAGGCCAGAGTGAGTCATTCCCCATGATCAAGTCCAAACCAAACACCTGAGGATGAGAGAGGTTGAGTGACCCTTTCCCAGCTCAAGTTGGACCCAACTCCACTGCTCACAGGTGCTCTACAGGCTTGAACACCCATCAGAAGGACATGGGCTTCCAGTTGGCCAACAAACGGCACAGCATGATGTTGCCCATCCCAAACTTTAAGACATCACAGCTTCCCCACTCCTGCTGCCCTCCAGGTCCATCCCTCCAGCCCCAGCTCCATCCGCACTGCTGCACTGAACCCCATCCCCTGCAGACCCCGAGGACCACCAGCACCAAAGGTGCCAGCCCTCTGGCACTTACTTGCGCGATGAGGATGCCCAAGACGATGCCGAGCTGGTGGAAGGTCCCCAAGGCACCCCGCAGCGCGGTGGGCGACACCTCACCCACGTACATGGGCACAAAACCAGTGGTGAGGCCAGAGTAGAGGCCGATGATGAAGCGGCCGAGGATGAGCATCTCGAAGGAGAAAGCCATCTTGGAGAAGCCCATGAGGACAGCGGAGATGAAGGCGAGAATGTTGGACATCAGCATGGAGTTGCGCCTGGGGAGGGAAGGGAAGAGGGTAGTGTGAGGATCATGGGGCTCAGAAGAACCCACACATCAGGCCTTGGCAGGAGGAAGGTGTCCAAAGCCACCCTGCTGGGATGCTGGGGTGGGGTGAGGCTGCACAACCGCCCCAGTGAAGTCCACCACAGGTCCACCATGCTCGGCGCTCACCGTCCAAAGCGATTGACGAAGAGCCCCACAGAAAAGGACCCGATCATGCCTCCGACAGAGAAGATGGCGACGGAAAGGGACCAGAGCGTGGTGAGGGTGGCAGGGCTGATGGGCTCCTCGTACCGGTACAGCCAGGTACGGTTGTAGAAGTCCTCAATCACCTGTGAAAGAGGGGGGAGAAATGAAGCCATGGGTTAAAACTGTCCCCGTTTCATCTGTGCCACCAGTGTTATGAATTGCCCAGGCCTCAGCCCGGCCACCTACAAACCCTTGGCCAGTGAAGGCGGCTCACAAGACGATGCATCACAAAGGCAGGAGCCGCCCAGCCGCCAGGCAGGTGGCTCGGCTCCAACCCAAGGGAGGAAACCTGATGGGATACGCAGGGGAAATGCAGCCGGACGGGTTCTGGTCTCGCCCTGCCGAGAGAGGCTCGGCGTTGCCAAAATACCTCTTTCACCTCGCCAGGCGGCCGTGGGGAGGTCACGCTCCTCCCCGGGGCACGGGAGGCGGGGCGGGCTGCCTCCATCACTGGAGGAGAAGCAATACAGGACGGAGGAAGGTGAGGAAGACAGCAGGGTCATCCGGACAGCCGATCAGTTCCCATCCCCTTGGATACTACCTTAAATTTAATTTCTAGGTTTTTTTCTGCAATACTTCCCTAACTCAGTACTTCTGCTGTAACTCTGCAGTACTTTTGCAATGCTAATATCCAAGACAGGTGCTTGTTTTTAATTACCATCTCCACAGAACACCCTTTTTAATATATTTTATATATATTTTTAAAGTATTTTTAAAGCAATCCCACTGCTGAAAGTTTCACGTCCGTTATTTAAGGGACACTCATATCCAAAACAAAACAACAAAGGGCTCAGTAACACACCCAACAAACCCTGGCTGGAAGGAGGAGAGATTTCATGCGAGCAGGGAAAGCTGCTGCTGGACATCAAGCTGCTCACAGACCTCGCTGCTTCGAAGGGTTTTGCACGTGCTCAGCTCCTGATTTAAGTCTCTGCACAATCACACTCCGTTCTCTAGTTTTCCCATCACTTCAAGCACAAACGAGAGCCCCTGGTAGAAGCAGCTCAAGAAACACACCCTGTGCTTTGTTATAAATTTCAATAATGCAACACTTTTTTTTAAGTTGTTTCTTTTACAAAGTCCTTAAACCATTAAGATTTCAAGATTTAAGTGATTTTCTTTGCTTCCCAATTCACCTGGAGGTTTTGACACTTTGGGGGCTTTTTCTCCTTTTAAATAATTGATATTATTATTTGGAGAACCCAGGACTGGCTCAGGCTCTCAGTAGGGGTAAGCAGGTCTCTCCACACACCCCACCAAACCTTGCAGTGCTCTGAATTCCTTCCTGCTTTCCAAAAAACCTCCAGCTCTCTCCCCCCGAAGTAGAAAAAAATTGCACTCCCCCTGACGCAGAAAAGCGGACACCCCAACACTGGCTGAGCTACGATGGGCTGTGTTTTGGCTTATCAAGAAACATCTAAATATCCTCACCTCCTGGCCCCCTTTCCTCCTGCAAAGAAAGGATGGATGGAAAAACCCACCATAAGCCAGTCATTGGGAGAGGAGGAGATGAAGAATTATGAGTTAAAAGTGAGAAGCGTGAAAAAAAATTTGCATTGTCCAAAAGTTAGGGTCTTTTTCCTCTCTCTCACTCTCATTTCATTCAGCTGAGTGTTCCCTACCAGCCCTCGCCCAGTTTCGGGCCGTCCCCTCCACATCTCACGTCTGCAAACACCCCCACACCCCCCAGCATGGGCACGCAGCCCCCCCGGACAGCAGCCCCGCTGCGAGGAGCTGCTGACAGCAAATGCTGCTGCACTTGCCCTGCTGAAGCCAGGGGAACGATGCACCCCAGTCCTGCACCCTGACAGATCCCAGTCCTGCACCCCACACATCCCTATGCCAGCCCCAGTGCATCCCCATCCCAATCCTTTGCCCCAGAGCACCCCGATGCATCCCAGTCCTGCACCCCAACATATCCCCACCCCAATCCTTCATCCCACTGCATCCCAGTCCTGCATCCCCACGCATCCCTATGCCAGCCCCAGCACATCCCCATCCCAATCCTTTGCCCAAGAGCACCCCAATGCATCCCCATCCTACTCCTCAGTGCATCCTGGTCCTGCACCCCAACATCCCCAGTGCACCCCGATGCATCCCTATGCCTGCCCTGACGCATCCTCACGCCAACCTTTGCCCCAGTGCATCCCAATGGATCCCCATCCCAATCCTTTACCCTGATACATCCTCATCCTGCAACCCAGCCCTGCTCCTGTGCCCCAGTGCACCCCGATGCATCCCCATCCCAATCTTTCACCCCGATGCATCCCCATCCCAATCCTTTGCCCTGATGCATGACCATCCTGCAACCTAACCCCACTCCAGTGCACCAATTTATCCCAATCCCGTGTCCCAGTGCACCCTGATGCATCCCAGTCCTGCACCCCAATAAATCCCAGTCCTGGCCTGCCTTGACACATCCCCACCCCAATCCTTCACCCCAGTGCACCCCGATACATCCTCATTCCAACCCTTCACCCCAATGCATCCCCATCCTGCAACCCAACCCTGCTCCTGTGCACCAATTTAAACCAATCCTGTGTCCCAGTGCACACCAATGCATCCCCATCTGCACCTCGATGCATCCCCATCCTGTTCCCCAACACATCCCCATCCCTATCCTGCACCCTGACACATCCCCACCCTGTAACCCAACCCCACTCCTACGCACCAATTTATCCCAATCCTGCTCCCCAGCACACCCCAATGCATCCTAATCCTGCACCCCAATATGCCCTGAGCCCTGGTGCACCCCCACCCTTAAAGCTGGGATGAACTCCCATGCCCGGAGCATCCTGCAATGCTCATCCTGCCTCCCCTGGTGCTCCCGACCCAGAGCACCCCAAAACCTTTCCCCCTATCAGTTCTGCACACCAAACACATCAGTCGCTGGGTGACTCGCCCCTAAAATACACGGCCCACACCTGGCCTGAGCCCCAAGAGCTTCATCCTCAAATGCACGAGGAAAATTGAGGCAATACCCATGGAGGGGGATCTTGCTTTGCTGGGGGTCTGTAAGAACCAGAGCTCGGTCCCAGGGGAAGACCCCAGCTCCGACGTGATTCCTGCTCGCATCACCCAGAGCAGCATCTCCTGGGTCAGGAGGGGACGGAGAAAAATCCTTCAGCCGCCGGGAAAGGCCGCGCCTCGGCGGGATGCAGGGGCCGGGCTGCGACGCCGGGGCACTAATTACAGAGCGCCCGCTCCCCGCCGGAGCTTGGGGGAAAACCAGGGCAGATGCCAGAAAGCAGCTCCAAAGCACGTTCCCAGGGATTTCCCAGCTTGCCGCCCATTCAAACACCGCTGACATCGCCAGAGGAGGATGCTCGATACCGGCTGCGCGCCGCCGCCACAGAGCAGTCCAGGGTCAGGGTTTTTTCAGCAAGGCGACGCTTTCAGCAGACAGACGCATGCGCCGTGGCCGTGGGTGCCTCCAGCCACGTGAAATCCTGCTCAGGCCACTCACCGCCATGAAATACAATGTCACGTGATACCTCAAAAAACGGCAATTTGCGTCTTTTTCGCTCTTTCTGCACTCATGGGATGTTTTTTGCACAGGGTCTTCTCTCCCACAAGGAATGTTTTCGGCGCTCAAGGCTGCAGCCCGCTCGCTGGTAACAGGATTAATACTCTTGCGGCGTGAATCCTGCCTCGGTGGTTTTAATTACTGGGATGGGGCAGCAGAGGCGGCGACGATGCTCGGGGACAGGCTCTGCTCTCATGCAGCAGCAGCCAGACCCCAGGTTGTCCTTCAACACCTCACCCAGCACGGGAGCTTTGCACGTTGCATGGGAGATTCCTGAGCTAACATTTCCAACTAACATCTCAAAAAGCCATGTAATTCGGGAAAGTCAAGTTTTGCAAGGCTCCCACATACCTGCCAGTGGCTGGAGGGTTCTGACGCTACGCGAAACGAAGGAGCCAATGCTCTCCGTACCCCGTCTCCTGCCCCAGCTGACCCTCTCTCCTCCCGAGGATGTCTGAAGCTCCACTTCGAGATGACTCAAACCCTAATTAATGCCCAGACCTTCGCTAAAAGCCAAGGTTAAAAGTTACACTGGTCCCACCCCGAGAGCATCCTGCAGGCATTCCTGGGATATTTCCCAGAAAAAAAACGCTAAGCGAGAAGGAAACTAATTCTCCTGGGAAGGCGGGAGCTAAATAACTCCCTCACAAATCCCATTACAGGCAGTAAGCTGCCTAGTGGGATGTACTATTTTAGCCATGCTGGCAGCGGGTGAGGGTTTGTTTTCAGGCACGGGG